CTAGTGATTAGGTGCATTTTTAAAACTAAAACTAAACCAGGAGGTGCTACTACGAGGAGTTTGGAGCGAACATCGTGGGCAACACGGCGATGAATAACTTCAAGATGGATCTGCAACATCAAAACATCTTCACATCACATATCACTTTATTTAGTTTAAATAACAACCCATGTATCACCTTTTAGGCTTTTTGCACAACCCTGTTATGCAATTATAAGTCCTAACACTTTAGGATTCTAAGGTTACCGTGTGGTATGGTGTAAATCTTCATATCTTTTTAGGTTATTTGCACAATCCTATATCGTGCAATTATAAGTCCTAAATTCTAAATAAATTGCAGGATTCAACATCAAATAACCAAATTTCAAAGATGTAAAGCCGAACAGTAGGATAGTTGGGAAGTCACCGGGGTTTCTCCTTGGATCTGTGATATCCCCTACTATTCATTCCTTTGGATCCCTTAAAGTAACTGTTCCTATTTTGAGTCATTCTCATTTGACTTTCTCATGTCCAATCTTGAAAACCTAAACTTTGAAATCTTGAAGGCAAAACCACTGATTTTAATCGAGAGTTTTTTTAAGGCAAAACCACTGATTTTAATCGAGAGTTTTCTTAAATGACCTCAGTCATTTAAGATGTAATAAACTATAGGAGTTTGTCTCTATAGGGAACTCGGAACTCAGGTAAAATAAACTCTATCTAATCCTCCTATTAGATAGGGAAACTTGTTGGTCTCATATAAAATATTTCGCAGACCAAACGGATGTCACAAATTCTTTAGTTTAGGTGATTGAATTCTTATTACAAGTGATATATTTATTCTTTGGGATAAGTGTGTTACTTGTAGTATTGTATTCAATCATCTAAACTATTTAAAATGTGAGACCCGTTTGGTCTCGCCTATTTTAAAATTAAAATGTTACTTTTAAAAATCAAAAGGGTTATATTCATATTTAAATTATTTTCAAAATCACAAAATCATCACTTTTCAAATTATGAAATTAAATCGGCCAACATGTTTGAGTTTTTTTTCCTCTCCTCTCCATGATTTAGGTATCATAGTGAGGTGAAAACTGTTTTCACATCTTTCCTCAAATTTCCATGATACTCTCATTAAACCTTAATTTTCTCCATTCATGAACCTTATTAAACTATTGTTTGATAACCAAGTCTCCTTTTCATAGCTTTTCATCCATTGCATCAAGCCATACTTTTACATAGAAAAAGGTTTAAAAAAATTTAACGTGAAAATAATGAAAATTGAAATCACATTACTCGCATATTACTCTAACCCAAACTTTCTAAACTTTCACCTAAAAAAGCCAAGTAAACATGATAAAATCAGACCATGAAATCGAACCTGGTTTATTTCATGCAGGACCTTCAATTAAATACCTTTATGGAGCTTTCAATTCCTATTGTACAACAAGTACATACCTGCTTATTCCATAAATACACCCCGCTCGACCAACTTTCATTCGCACAAAAAATTGCATGTGCCCATGATCCACTCTATAATTGATTGTACGACTCACTTGCAATCACTCTCTCGTGTCTAGCATGCGTCATGTCCGCACAACTCGCCCTCTGCCCATTCCATCAACTCAAATCCCACTACTCACGCTATTTTCCTATTTTCAAATTGATCATTGTGATACGAACACCCTGTAATCACAACGACAGATCTTCACTTCTCCAGGCACTCAATTTTTAGCTTCCTCGTCATAACTCAAGACCTATCTAACGTCTATCACAATTAGCTTTTGCACTTCTGCTTCTCCGAAAATACTATGTTCTTGTATTTAGCTGCATTCTAAAAATGTTGACAAATTTATTGATTAGCTAAATGGGCTAAGAGATTATTTTAATTCATAAAACAAGCATAAAAATGTTTTAATATGAATTACACATTTTTACTCTTTTAAAATTTGAAAAAACACACGTATACTTTGTGAAATCATCATGTTTTCCTGCTTTAGGTTATCTGAGTTTGCAAAAGATTTTGGTTCCTAAGTTACAAAAACTTTCAAAATGTCTATTTTACCCGGCATGAAATGAAGTTTAACTCATATGAGAATATACCTGGATTCACATTCAAGAGAACGGCATTATGAGTTGAAAATTAATTTGCTACAATTTTTTATGAAAAAAATTCTCATCGTATTTTAAATGTTAAGTTCATTGAGTATTCAAAGAACCATGGATTGTTGTGAAAATGTTTAATGATAAACTTAGGTTATATATTAAAAAAGAAATTGAACTACATAATCTTCAAACATTGAATAATATTCGTAACATGGCTACCAGGATTGACATATCCCTTAATTTGAAAAAACTTTAATCATAACAAAAATCTAAAATAGAACCTGAGACGTATTGATAAGTGTGCTACCAATCCTATAGCTATATCAAATTAGCACAGATTCTTTAATACTTATTTTTAGATGTGTAACATAATTTATTGATGATATTGAAGATAATGATTATTTTTCTAACATAAAATTTTGATTTTAGAGGATTACATAATGACAGAAGTGGAATTAAATTGTATTCCATCTACATGTTCGCATAATCATTTGCATAAGGATCAAGCTAATAATAAAATGTCAATTATTTGTAATAATGATGTTCTTCATTTTGATACTTTTTGACTCAAAATGATTATCAAGGCATCGTACTTCATGCTTTTAATTCATCCATACTCCTTATCCCGAACACCTTGAATGCATGCAATGTTAAAACCTAACGTACAAGTTAAGATGAAAATCAAAACTCATGGCTAACAATTATATATAAGATTTGCAAATATTTAGATTGATATATCTGATGACTTTATTAATAATTAAATTTTCATGATTAAGCTTATGTTTCTTAGATAAAAAGCTCTCATATCGATAATCTCATTTGCAAGTTTGTTAGCAAATTGAATGGAGAAAGAAAAGAGGATTTTTTCGAATGAAAAAAAAAAAGAGAAAGAGATTTTTTCAAAGTTTCTTAGTTTGAAAAGAAAGAGTGAGCTGGGAATGCTCCTTTTTAGCTCTAGATCTAGATCTTGAATGGCTTCCTTTTGATTGGAATGGAGGGCTCCCCCTACTGACCTATTTTCTCTTTTCCTACTTGAATGTTCGAACTTATGGGGATCACCGGGTCATTCAGCGGATGAGTGTAACCGATCTTTTTACTGGCTGAGAGTGAGAGCCAATTCTTGGGCTTAAACTGCCAATGTTTTTACTTTCAATAGAAAGAAGATAAGAGAAGGGTTTGATGCCACCAACTATCAGGCTCGACGAGTGGTCCACAGAGCTGCATCCCTACTCACCTGATCCAAGCACATCACTATCTCCAGGAGGTTGGCCGCCTATCCTAGATCATCCCATTTCTCAGAAGATACTAGATCTTCCCTAAACCCTAAGCAAGAAACTAGTACGCAGATACTTATCTACTAAAGGATAATAGTAAGACGAAACTTGAATATCTTTCATTTCATCATTTGAAGAAGGATTACAACTTTTTTGCCTTCAGTGGGCCTAGAACTGTCAAACAAGATCCCCCGCTCAGTGTGCCTCTTTCTTGGGGGCACATAGAACACTCAAAGAGAAAGTAATACCAAGAAGCGTTACATCTTAATCTTCAGCACTAGACCTAAATTACTAAAGGGTCTTTAGGGAAAGAGAAGAAACATATTATGCAAAAGCATATAAACGAATGAGCAAAGACTGTCAGTCCAAAAGAACTCAAAGTATTACGCACCTTCATCCTACGACTAAGCACTCAAGATGAAATGAACCTTAAGCAACTTAGACAAGGTGCTAGAGTCGTGACAACCCCTAACAGCCCGTCTAATCGTCCTTTCTGAGACAGGCGAGATGGGAGGGAGCGACCGTATGCTCTCAGGTAGGAACTAAGTAAAGAGAACCTGAAACAAGTAATATCGATACATGGCCAACACCCTTGAGAATGATCACTATAGTTGTTCTAGTGTTACCACCTAGACTAGATCCTTCTCCACCAGTTCTCGAATATCTTCAAGCTGTACTACATGGCCTCCGCCAAAACATTTCAAGAAAAGAGTTTTTAACTGGCAGGATGAAATGATGCAGATGAAACTTGAAAACGTCCAGCATAGCTCTAAAAATACCATTTTTTTGCTGGCCAATTAGAAAAAATCAAATTGAGCCACAGGTGTTGAATCAGATAGGTTGTCATCCCATCTTAGATCTACTTCTATTTTTGGTCGAATTTTCACGCTTTTAATTGATTAATATTATTGTTTAATTATCAACTTTGAGTAATCATAGAAATAAATTTAATTTTTTTTTAATAATTAGTTTTGATTAGAATTAAATTAAAATTTGACTTTATCCTTATAACCCTATCTATATAAAAAATGATCAGGTTCCATCTCCTTGGTGTTATGAATTTTTTTCCATCAACATGCAAGAAACACCTCTCTTCTTGTTATATTTCTATTCTATCCTTAGAAAACAAAAACAAATGTTTTTAGATCTGGACTGTGGAAAATCAGCGAAATAAATTGTTGCTCTATATTTACCTTTGATATGCATATAACTGAGGACCACATGAACCCGCTCACAGCTTAGGAAATTGTGGGTCCATTGCAACATTTGAGGGGGAAAAATTATTCCCCCATAATTAACATTTATCCATAATTGCGTTTTTATTTCTTTCCTTCTTATCATTAAGATTTGAATTTCCCTCCAATTATATTAAGGTTGCTTTGAGCGTGTATATATTTGTTATTTGCTTAATGAGAAATTAACATTTTTTTTTCTTTTTCCTCTAAGAAAATTCCTCCTAAATTGCATATGGTATCAAAACAAGGAAACAGATCCTACGTCTTCTTTCAATAGCTGGAATCTCCACTACATCTGCCAGAATTCCTCCAGGCTACCTTCACTCCTAGGTCTTCTTCCAGCCATTGGAGCCTCTCTACCAGTCATCGAGCAGCCGGAATCTTCCCTACAGTCATCAAAATTCATCTAGGCAGCCTGTAGGCCTTCGCTCTTGCAATTGGACTCTCCTAGGCAGCAGCGGCGGCCTCCTTCAGGAACACATCTTGGTCTAGGCAGCAACCTCATCCCAGCTTGCAACCCAGGCATCCTGTGTAGGCAATATACATTTTTTCTCTCTAGTGAAAATTCTGTGTCGACAACAGATAGTTTCTCTATCCTGTGAACATCAATGATAGCCATATAACATGAAAGCTGCATCTTTCTCTTCAAAAGTTACATCTGAAGCTGAAACTAAGATTTTTGGTTCCAAAACCTCTAAATTCTCTTCCTGTAACAACAATCACAAACTACATGACAACAATTTTCTTCAATGGTTTCAATCTGTATTCATGTACATCTATGATAAATAAAAGGATGATTGTCTCACCGAGAAAAATCCTACACCATAAATTAACGATCCTAAACACCGAACATGGAAGATTGAAGATCAGAGTCATGTCATGGCTTGTTAACTCCATGACCACCAAAATTGGAGAAAATTTCCTCCTATACAAAACAAAAAAAGAAATCTAGAATGCCAAAAGAGAAAAATATTTAAATGTTAACAATGCATTTGAGTTGTTTGATGTTGAAACAAGATTACATAACTTGCGGCGGAGTGAGTGAATGTTACTCAATACTTTAACACTCTCTCCAAATACTGACTCCAACTAGATATATATGAAATATACAAATGGGGGTGCTCACAAGAAGCTCTTCTTTACAGTACCATTGTTGAACAGAAGAGAACCATCAAGCTCGTTCTAGGACTAAACAAGTAACTAGATGAAGTCAAAGGAAGAATCATGGGAACCAGATCTCTTCACTTAATTTGGAAAACCTTTGCTAAAGCACGAAGGGAAGAGAACAAAAAGAAACTCATGATCACAGGTAATTCCACTCTATCAAATGTTGAAAACTCAACTTTATACACTCACAAATCATCTCAGGAAAACAAATAAAAGAGGAACAGACCTTGGTATGAAAAATACAAGAAACTTGGTCATCTGAAGAAGTGTTAGAAATTAATGAAAAAAAACTTGCATATCGGAAGCCCAGCAAAGTAAAAAATGATGAGAAAAATCAAGCAAACACGACATTAAAGGAAAGCAAGACTCATGAACACAGTTCAATCGTCAAGGAACAATAAGAAGCTCTCCAAAGGCTTCTTGGATAATATTACGAGCCTCCTATCAACCTTATAGCACATTGAGGTAGTCTTCCATTTGCTCTTGTTGCTCTCATTAGAAAGAATCAAATTTGGATAGTATACCCTAGAGCATCTGATCATTATGACAGGTGATATCACTGTTTTTCAATCCTTCCATTCTTGCAAACATCATGTTACAGTTAGAACACTAGATGAATCATTTTCATCAGTGGAAGGAAGAGAAAGTATGAATCTCATAAAGAATTTTATTCTTCAATTTGTGTTTTATGTTCCTAAACTTAAAAGCAATTTAAGATCTATCAGTAAACTTACTCGTGACATGAATTGTGTAACTAACTTCAATCATAATTTGTATGAATTTCAGATGATGGACTCGGGGTAGGTGATTGACAGTGTTGATATGTATCATGGATTTTATTAGCTCATTATAACTCCCCCTTCAGAAGAACCGTCTCACCGTTCACAATCCTTTGAGTCAAGTCTTATATCTCAGTTTGTTTCTCATGAGAGCTAAGTTATGTGATGGCATTTTTGTCTCGGGCATTCTAATTTCTATTGTATTGAAAAATTGTATCCACATTTGTATATCAGCAAAAAAATCTAGTTTTCTCAGTATGAAACTTGTCCACTTGCTAAAAAAACTCGACATGTGTACCCAAGCCTAAAATACAAACCAACACATCCCCTCTCCATGATTCATAATGGTATCTTGAGGGCCTCAAAATGCTGCCAAATAAGCACAACGAGCAGCAATCAAAGAATACAGTCGTAAGAACAAGAGCTAACAGCTGAAGGAAAGGAGTGCAGGAAACTTTTGACACTCGCTACAGCCAAACGGAAGAACTCAAGAGCATTATACATGACAACGTGCAAGAAAGAAAGAAATATAAAGATTCTCAATTATTTCTTCTCAATTTTTCAACAAGGTTTAAGTCCTATTTATGAGAAATTTTAAAAGGAAAAAAAATTATCTCTGCCTTAACTAACTCCACAAAGAAAGAAATCCAATCCATGAGAACAAATCTAGGTAAGTTTATATGAAGTGATCTGTCTGAGAGATTAAATACTTGATTAAAATTTATATATAAACTTATTCAAATATGTTTAATAATTCAATTTCTTGTTTATCCTACTGTAACCTAAAATCCAATTGTTCAACTTCCAGAGCCTTGATTTCATTCGTATGATCCTTGATTTACAATTTGATTACACCCAATGGACTCTAGATGATATCTTTTTTAATCTCAATGGTATGCTATTAGACTCACTACTATCAAAAAAATTCTTGAAAATTTTGAGCTATCCAATTTAAATGAACATTATCTGATGCCCAAATCTTGATCATAGACGATCTGATTGGTCTACTTCAAGACCAAATACCATAATATAGGGCCACCATTAGAGGATTTAATTTCATTAATGTGAAATTAAAGCTCCATATAACGGATTATTATTTGCACAGCTTCCCTAATGTACCATTTGACTTTGCTTGGTCACTGGTTGTTTCTGCCATATGGAATGTCTCACTTGGCTCGTGTCCATGGTGAAAATATTTTGCACAAAAGGAATATCTGCTTAGTGGCAATTCTTGCTCAAAGAGTAAACCATTCGTAAAAGGTTGCCTTCTTTTGGCTCAACATAAAACATGGTAAGTCCAATAGGCTTCAAATTATCCATATTTATCACTGAATACATTTCCATATATGGCAACAACTCCATATAGTAAGCATGTCTCCAATCTACCTGAAAATTTTAAAAGCGTTATATATGATTAGCTTTAACTTCTTTTCTTTTACTTTGAAGAGATCATTGCTCAAATGCAACTAGACATTATCTCCTACTTGTAAGTCAACTAAACAAAATAGCAGCTATTTATTTCTTTATAATTTTTATGGGTTCTCAGCAGTTGCTTCTCCACTTAAGGACTCTTAACAATATATCAAATGGTAATAGTGAGGTTTAAAATTACCAACATGAGTGATTATCCTTGAGAAATCGGATCATTAAAACTTTGACAAATAAGAACTTTAATATTTTCATGATTTCAAGTTCAAATTATGACCACATGCAATTTAATTGACCTCCTACTAGACGCTCGAAGATTGTTAATTGCTTGAAAATTGATTTGATTTTTGGCTTTGGATCAAAATAAACAAGCCGAGATACTAGCCAAAAATTTTAGACCAAATTTTTTCGAGCCGACGACCCCAGCTAGGCTTGAAATTAATAACCCTAGTGATGTAGGCTGTGAATTTAATAAATTTAGCTCAAAGATCGTTAATCGTTCAAAAATTAATTCAAATTTTGGCTCGTATCGAGATCATATAGAAATAAACAAACTGAGCTATGAGCCAAAAGTTTGGTTCGAATTTCTTTCAAGTTGATTTTGAGCCGAACCTAACTTGGCTCGAAATATCGGATCGTTAACAGCCCTAGATACAACCAAATCAAATAGGAATTAATTGATTGATTAGTGTGATTTTATTATGTGTGACCCCAATCGAGTGCTCCTTAAATCGAAGTTGTGTTCATAGAGTTCTTCCTCTCTTCTCCGTCACACTTTCTACAACACAGACTAAACCAAATATCAAAGAAAATTACATAACCAACATGTATAAAGATTTAAAATGGGCAATGGTGTACTATGAAGCAGACACCGTGATCAACAGCAGTAAACTCATATTGATTACTTAAGGGTCCATCCAAATGACATTGTATAAATACCATAACATGGTGTGTAGCACATACCAATCTAGCAGCCATTCAGCAAAAGCAACATATATATCTTAAAAGTTGATGTGGCAAAATTGAAGGAATTAGTTATGCAAGGGATAGGATATATTAAGCAAAGAATCAAATGGGAAACTAGTGGCACAGATTAACCCAACCACGACATGGCCCTTTCCACTCAGCTCAACTCAGCAGTCATGCATTTGTCAATTTTAATTGCTAACAAACCTGCGTTATATGCCACATCGGACACCAACCCAAAAGACCCTTTTTCATGCAATTTGGAAGAAATAAGGTAAAGAATTTTGCAACATGTGCAACAATGTGAGAGCTTATAACAACAACAATAAACTAGATCTCAAGAAAATGCGACAGGTGGGTATCAATCAAACAACATGCATACATTTACTCAAGTTCTTCGAGCATTGATGGTTTATCATCTAATCTAGTGAAGCAGCTTGGCAACTTCACAGATGTAAGGGACCGCATTAAAAAGCTTCAAAGCTTGAACAATACATGAATTATCCAAAAGTAGTAGTTCCAAAATAATTTGTTCTTCAAATTCATTCAAGAAAACATTTTGAGAGCTTACTGGTTGATAACAATTTAAAATAAACCAGCTTAACATTTAGACATTTTCAAATGTAGAGAATTTTCAACCATCTCATTGACATCGGAATTATTCATAAAGCTGAATGGTTTCATGAGCATTTTCCACCGAACGACAAGACAGAGGGTCAGGAAGAAGTGAACGCTCCAAAGTCCACTGAAATTAAGTATTTATGCATATGTCGACATGTTATGATTTATTCTACAGAATCCTTCACTCAAAAATATTTTATGTCTAAAGAAATATGATTAGCCTTTAAGAACAAGCTAACTAGATGTTCTTCAAATGAAGAGAGAATTGGCACTCTAAAATTGGCATGATACTCTTTAGCACAGCTATTTTTATTATAGTTTTCCTAAGCAAAATAGATAATATTAGGAAAACAGATTAGACAATTTCTCGTTATTAAAAAACCATGTAGGCAACTCCAGTAAAAGCAAGAATATCAGAAACTTTGGACATGTCTACAAAACAAGTTCCTTGTGGCCAAGCATGCATGCCGCCAACATTTAACTCAATAAACTACTTGGCCGATTCCAAGTTTTTTTTTTTTCCCCACCCTCAAAGTGTCAGATAGATTTGAAGATAGATTTGAAGATAGAAAAATATATCATAAACGAGATAAAGATAGATAACGTAATAGGTGACTGCTGCCCAGTTAAAATTAAAGAATAGGCAGCGAAGTGCAGATCTAATGAACAAGAATAGTCTGCTCAGAGTAATAAAAAATTACTACAACAATGTGTAAGCATAGTTAAGAAAACTGCACCATCTATAAATATCCAGATAGAAAGCAGAGAAGTCTGCTAAAAATGAAGGTGAAAATTGAATAAGCCACACTATTTTAAGCTTCAAAATGAAAAGCAAACTACCATGAATATGATGACATTGATAAAATAATAGAAAAAAAGTAAGGAGAACCATCAAGCATTGGAGATCAAAATATACACTCTTACAGTAGTTGCATGGATTCCAAAAATGCCACTATTGTTGTAAATACTGTTAAAGGCCGAGAATGATTGGATCTGTTGAAACTCATTCAAGACATTTCGATCTGCATAATAGATATGTTTAAATTAGCACGGATAAGAATCAAAGTATCAAACTAAAATTTATCCATGTATAAACATTGCCACAATCCTAACCATAATACAGAAATGACATGAACAAAGCTGGAAAATGATAACATAAAACATGAAATAACAGAAAACTGGTGCAAGCAACAAAACACCTAGGGTTTACTTACACAGCCGAGAATACATCCCCTTCCCAGGACCTCCTGCAGAAAAAGAACCACCACCTCCCAAAAGCATCTGTCAAGAGAGGAGAACCAAAATAGCACAACAAAATTCTATAAGGATCCATGAATATCCAATAGTATAAACAATATTAAAAGAAATGATGTTATAGACTAAGAGTACATTTGAAGCGGCTATAACTTTTATAAAGATGTTGCATAGCTATTATGGAGTAAACAACTTTTTCAAAAATTGTTGTATGTATTATAAATATTTTCATTTCTGAAGTCAGACAACTTTCTTATCGCTGCCACATTTTAACAGATGTGGTTCTCAAAAGCAACTTCCCACCACAAAAGTTTTAAATCACTAATCAAATGGATGTGTGCCAGCAATCTGAAAAGTAAAACAGTGCAAAAGCTGCCCCAAACAGACCCTAATCTATTCACTTATAGAATACTGTTTCATTAGAACCTGAAGTACTGTGACAGCCATGACATCCTTTTCCTTATGCCAACCACCAGGAACTTCAAAAGCAAGAGCAAGATGTGCAACCTGTTATCCAATAAAATTTTGACAAAAGAAAAAGAAACTAGTAATGAGATTGATGTTACCAAGTGTACTAAAATAAAATATTAAATTATGTAGGTAAAACATGAGCATGATTAAAGTCTTTGTACTGTAACATCTGCTTGGCGTCGATATTCCCCACCAACATAAACAGACTTTGGCTCCTCAGGACGGGCTGTTTTTGAAAGATCGGATAGTAGTGGTTCAGCAATTTTGACCAATTCCTCGTGTTCCACACCAGATGCTGCAAGTACAATTCTAGGAGCGGTGTAGTTTTCCTGATACAAGCAGAGCAAAGAAAGTTCAATATAGAAATAGTGGATAAAAGGTGTCAAAAATAAAAATAAAAATCACAAAAAAAAAAGCTTTCAACAAAAAAAAGGAGACTTACAACCAAAAATTGCTCCAAAATGCTACCATTTAAATTATTCAAGGTAGATTCAGAAGCTATAAGAGGGATCGCCAAAGCGCCACTATATCCCGCTGAGTGAATAGCCTCCAAAAGCAAAGCTTGTGGATTGCTAGAAGCTTCAACTGTCTCTGCCTTCAATTTACTCACCTAAGATTACAACGAAGGAATCAACTAAAGCACAATACCACAAGTTTTGAGCTAAAAAAGAGGTCACCGTGATATATGATACCTGTTCATTAACTTCCCAATCAAGGAAAACTGCATTTCTCACACTATCAATGAGCAACTCAACCATTTGTGGCACATATGTTTTCAAAGCATCGCAAGTATATCCCATCTGTTCACGAGAAGCTGAGGCACTCACATTTCCACCTATAGCTTCTACTTCTCGCACAATGCGCAGATGGCTCCTGTTAGTTGTGCTCTTGAAGGCCATCCGTTCCAACAGCTGTGTAGTCCCAAAAGAATCTGGTGTTTCGTATATTGAACCAGAGTCGACGTACAGCCCTATTGAAGCAGCCGGGTTCTAATCAAACATAAAAAAGTTAATAATACTGATAATTAATAAAGATAACTCATAACGACAATTAAATAAGATAAGAAAAGTTGTACTGGTGATGTTTCTGAAGCAATTTTGACTCCATTTGGAAGAGTTGTGATCCTTGTATTTCCTGGCTCAACATAATCTGGAAGAGGGGGAGGAAGTCTAACGCCAGGAAGTGGAAAATCTAGGGGAGGAACCTGGCTAGATTTTGCACCAGTAAGCCAGCTAAAGAAACCACCTGGTGATCTTTTAGCAACACTTGTGCTGGCAAATCTCTCAGCAGAGGCAAACATGTTGGTCCTCGGTACATGTTGCTGAACTTACAGAAAAGAGAAGATGTATTAATCCGCGAGTATCAGCATTAATAGTACTCTTACAAAACTTCTCAAGAATTAACAGCACAAAATCTCATGCTAGGCTATGAACTGGTCCCCTGCTAATATATTGCACATGCTGAGCTAAGACTACCCTAATGGCATATTTATGAGTAGCTGATACTAGTGACACTAGATTAGTATAAAAATAATATTTTGCAAACAAATCGGATAAATTTGGGCCCAAAAAGCTCATTCCTAACAAGACAAACATTTGTATGGACTGCTCAACAATCATAGAGAATAAAGAATTCAAGCATCATTCGAGACTTGGCATTCGGAACTACACTAAACAGCAGAAAGTCACCGAAATATTTTTAAGCATGACAATTTTGTAAAAGATAAACAAATAAAAATAAAAAACTCCAAATGTTTACATCCAAGTTGAGGTTTCCATATTTTGTATCATCACCAATGTCTAAAAAAGTTAATGAATACACATGTAAGTATTATTTATAGAATACAAAAAGTGTAGGGAGTTTTAGGATTTTTTTTTATTAGATACAAAATACAATATAATTGATCTCAAATATTTAAATGTGTTAAAAAATAAAAATAATAATTTTCATAAGTTTAAATTTAGACAAATAGACATAGACATACGATTTAGTTTTTCCTGCCTGTAGCATAGTGAAAGGTTCAACATCAAAATAAACTGAAGAAAAATAGTATAAAAAAGAAAATATATTTTATGAATCACAGAAGTGCCACCACAGTAGGGCAAAGAATCAACACAAAAAAATGGAAAAATTAATATATGAATTTATAACTTCCTTTTAAATACAAGTATTATATTCTTGCGTTGGTAAATTAGCATTTTACGGCTACAAAGTATGTACAATTAAAAGTATACATGGAAAAGAAAGTTAATAAAATTGAACTAATAATTGCATCTAATAATAGGTGAAATATGCAGAAACTCAAGATAAAAATGTGAAGCATTCCTATATGTAGAAATAGTAAAGCATTAGCCTTAGAAGCTTCAGCCAAGCAAGAATCAAGAGCTTTATAATTGAAAGCATAAACCTCAAATACACTAAGTTTGCAGCATATTGCTTTAAAACATTTACAAAACATTTGGTTTAAATATGAAATACGAATTGTAAGGAGTCTCAATGATTATTACATTTAAAAGCAGCAATAAGGCAAATAATACTACCAACAAACAAAGTTGTGCGTGAAAACATTTGATCTAAATTCTCAGGATGCAGAGCGAACTGAAGACTTATCCTGACACCAATAAATGTCATATGTAAAGCCTTATTAACTACATGTAGGAACTTGTTGATCATAAAAGACAGAATTTTAAGTCAGCTCATAATTTAACAATTACTTTCAGAGTATTTAAACACCTGACAACTCCAACAATCGCCAGCCTAGAAAGACAAAAGAAATTCAGAAGAAACCATTGCAGTAAACAACAAAACTCCTCAAACTATCGAAACTTTAAAAAAGATTATTTTGGCAACTCTAAATGCAATGTAGGATGCATGGGTTGTCATCATTAGCATCAACATTATTAGGCTTTCATCTTTATGAATCCTCCTGTCCGGTCATTTATATTTAGTGCTGCCTAAGAAGTGAAACATATTTTTCGCAAATCATCCTCAAAAACTTCCATCCACAGCATCTTAGGAATACCCATTTTCTTTACTAATGTAGCGCTATTTTTATCCACCCATCTAAAAAGTGCACTAGCTATCCTTTATATATAATCAAATCACTCAAGTTTATTTTCAATCATATCTTCAATAGATAACACTCCAAACACTTAAGCAATATAAATGTTATTATATTTATCCTTGTCGAAATTCACAATAATGCTGAATATTTTCAATGATATGAAATGGGGTAAAAATAACCCTTACATGAATCATAGAACAGGAAAGACAATAAAAAAGAAATAATAGGAAAGGAAAGATATAGCATTTTACATCTCCAATTAATCAATCTATATTAATTATTAGGAGATAAATGAAACGACATAAAATAGTAAAGCCTAAACTAGGAAATGAAGAAATCTAATCCAAGAAAATAAATCTAAAATCGGAAATGAAATAAAGTTATATTAGAAAAAAAAAAATCTAATCCCCATAACTTCAAACAAGAATAAATTATTTCCAATATAACTTCTAACACTCCCCCTCAATTTGAAACATGGTTGAAAACTATGTTCAATTTGAATTTGAAAACATAAAACAATGAGCGAAGAATTCCCTATAAAATTGAACTTGAAGTCCTCTTCCCATATTGCAGTAGTCACTGACTACAGTTCCTATAGTGTCTGTAGGTAGACGAAAGGCTCCTACGAGTAATGCTGCTTTGCGGGAATGTAGAAAATTTGCAGAAAAAACTGACTTTTAGTTTATTGCGGTTGTCTTTGACTGCGGCTCCTGCAATTTATGTAAGTAGGCAGAAGACTCATACAAGTAATAGTATAGGGGAGTAGGAAAAGACAGCCTACAAAAAAAACTGGCTTCTAGTTGACTGCGGCTGCCTTTGACTGCAGTTCTTACAGAGTATGTAGGTAGGTGGAAGGCTCTTATAGGTAATGTGGCAAGGGAGTTTGCAGGAATTAGACAACCAATAGGAAAAGTTGTAGAGAATGGTCTGCAGAAAAAAAAAGGAAAAGCTTCGGAAGTAGGCCTTGTTGCAAAAAAAGGCTTTGGAAAAGGGACTGATACAGAAAAAAATTTCGAAGGAAGAGCTACTTGAAGTTTCTGGCCAGTAGGGTAGAAACAATAAAGAAGGTCATATAGGCCGGCTCTTGGGATTCCATTCAAAGATACATTCAGTCTCACCTTTGTAATAACCTTTCTAAAGTCATTTTGAAAGCAAAACATAGATGAAATCCTCTGTAACAAGTTTCTCTCTTTTTCACAATCCATGTATGTGAAATGGCGAAAGAGGCCACAAAGGCAGCTGTAAGAATTTGTGGTCGGCAGGAGTTTGAGGCTCAGAGGAAGTTGTCGGTGAGGTCTACAAGGAAGTTTTCCAGCTGGCAAAGATGATTTCTGCCTCTTAGGGACCTGCAAGGAAGAGATCCAATTGCCTGAAATCTGCATAGGTAGTATCATATATCTGTTCCTTGAACCCACAAGACAGAATTTCATTCGCCTCATCCAAAACAAACATTTTGATGTTGTCAGAAAGAAGAGACCGCCACCTTAACAAATCAAACACGTTGTCAGGCGTGCCAACAACCACATGAACATTGCTAGAAAGTATTTGTTAATCCTCCCTAATGTTTGCCCCTCCCACACAAGCATGAACCTTCACATCGGGTAATCACCAAGTGCTTGCGTAACTTGTTCGATATGCTGAGCCAATTCCCTCGTAGGAGCAAGAACCAAAGCCTGACATTCAACTAAACCATAATCAAGCTATAGCAGAATTCTAGAACAATAAGTTGTTTTCTTTCCCGTCCCAAATTGTGCCTGTTGAATAACATCCAAACCTTGCATAAAGGAATAATTCCTCTATGTTGAATAGTAGAAGTTTTTTTCAAACTCGTAGCCATAAATGCCTCGCAGAAGATTATCCAAAAGGCACATGGAATCAAAGCTTTCATAAACCTCGTCATAGGTTGTAAAGAAGTATTGTCCATCACCCGTAAGCAGCTCATTCAGTTTGTGTTGTATTGTTGACCATTAAATCGAGACCCTTCTAGTGCAAGTCCAGCCATTTTCTACTTGTGAGAAGACAGATGAGAAAGAGAGAAAATTTGTTGCCACTATTTGTTGCGACCGGATGAGAAGGCAACTGACTGTGGACTAGCAGGTGAAGTTTGGAAGGGAACAGTTGCTGGAAGGACCAGCGGCTGAAACTTCAAAAACCCAACTGAAGAAAGTTTGCAGGGAAGCCGACAGCTGAACCAAAAAAGAAAAACCTACAATGAGTGTCGGCGACAAAAGAAAAAAACTGCAAGGAAGATGTCGACGTCTAGGTAGATGCCTTGGCAACAGCTAAGGTTCGATCCTAAGAAGGGCAGCACGACAAAGATTGCCGGGTGCAAGGAATTGGAAGTTTTCGGCGGTAAGAGACAAGGTTTTTTTTCTGACTCCGACACCATGTTGAAATTCAGAATAATGTGGAATATTTTTATTGATATGAAAGAGGGTATAAATAATCTTTACATGAATCCTATAATAGGAAAGACAATAAAAAAGAAATCAAAGGAAAGAAAAGATATAACACATAATATCTCTAATTAATCAATCAATATTAATTATTTGGAGGGAAAGAAAATAAAATAAAATAGGAAAGGAAATAAATCCAATTCAAGAAAATACATCTAAATTAGGAAAATAAATTAAGTTATATTAGGAAATAAATATAATCCTCATAGCTTCTAACAAAAATAAATTATTTCCTAATATTATAAGTATATCCATCATGCTTACTCAACTATCAACAATTTTAAATGCCCGCTACTCAAATTAATGCATAATTAATGGCCTGATTACAATATCACAAATCTTTTAAGTTTCATGATATCCTCTGATCGCATAGTACTCCAAAAGCCTCTGGCATTTCACCTGAAGTCCCTATTAAAACTTTTTTTCTTTATCAAGAAAGAAAGCAAAATTTCAAAGCTAAAAATATACAAGGTTGTCACCCTTAAATTTGACTTAAGATACTTGCAGTTGAGTTAGAAAACACTTTTTCATCAAAATAGGAGATATTCATAATGCACCTCATGCACTAGGTCTTCATGGTATATGGGCCCGAATAATTCTATTACCTTATGTTGTTTCAACAATCAATTGCTCATTCATATAACTTCACATATTATAATACAAGACGATCTACGATGTAGGAAAACCTAACCATGAATCTAAAAAGGTAGTGTAAATATACATTTTATGAATTTATGATTCCTTCCACTCTGTAAGTTTCCCTTTACACAATGTTTTTAGAGAATGTGTATGTGTGTGTGTGTGTGTG